AGGCTTGGCATAAACTTCAAGGTTCATGGCAATGTAAAGTCAAGGTGGCTTGAGGTTTAAGCTTTGAACAAAAGTAAAAAAAATAAAAAAAAACTCAATCTTGAAGATGATTCATAAGTAAGCTATAAATATTCAACAAAGAGTAAAAGAAATACTTAAAATTTGTACCTGTATAAGAAAATAAAAGCAAACCAATTAAAACACAGAAATAAAATTAATGTAGGTGATAATTAAAAAAATAGTTATTAAAGAAAAAGAAGGGATATACATTTAAACGAAACTAAAAAAGTCAAATTAAGAAAATGAAAATAAAGGCCTTAAAAAAATTGTTGAAAGAAAAAAAAAAAAAAACTTAAAAAATGAAAATAAAGTACTTAAAATCAAGAAAAAAAAAAGAAAAATTATTTTAAAATAAAAAATTTAAAATCCTGTATACCCAAACTAGCTTGAATTTGAAACCTAAAATCTTAAACCTTTTTATATGCAACTTTAAAAGTATAGTTTTCAAGTCAATCTTAGTGTTCGGTGTGTGCCCCATGGGTGAAAGAGGCATATGCCTCACTTAGCCTGGCAAATTCTAAGCTTTGAAGTGTTTATTGTGGTCCTTATGGTGAGGTGTGCCTCAAGACAAGCAATTCAAATGCTTATTTAAAGAAGGGTCGAAGAGAATTGATGTTGTCCCTCTAAATATGAGTTTTAGAGATGAAAGATTGATTTTTGAATATTGTTACATCCTGATGGTATGATATTTTTTACATGGGAAGAATAATATTCATATCCTTGTTAGTGAGGAGTGGGCCAATAAAAATTTCATTTCATAGCTTTTGAGTCTAATTTGCTTCTTTGATAAAGTGAAATAAAAATAGCATTGTTGAACACTCGAGGAAATGGTGGAGGTGAGCCTACCATTTATGCTATACTTGTGTTAAAGTTGGACAAGGAATTTTTAATTTTGGATTCTTTTCGGCGGCTTTTGGATTTTTTTCGGCATATTTGTAGTAATGAGGATTAAATTTCCCTAATAATATTTGGAAAGTTATTAGTGATCATATTTAGTTGAGCAAACTCACGATGTTATTTTTGCTCTCACTTTTGTTGAGCTGTATGGATACAAAAAAATTGGTGAACAATTCTTTATCGGAGGATATTTTCCAAATTATAGCATGAAAATATTAATTTGGAAAATATCCTCCCGCAGTGTCAATTTTGAGAACTTGAACTTAGGTTTTGAATTTGGTTTGTATAAAGGAGCGTGATTTTTTGAATTATAGAGTTAGTTCAATAGAAAAGCCCGAGTGATTTTAGTGTAGTCATCAACAAAATATATATACTACCTAGCATCTGAAATATTTTTTACACAATTTTGGCCTAGATATCACTACGGATAGTTGCAAGGGTTGGGAAGTCCTATAAAAATAATTAGGTTAGGTAGTTCAAGTGTTTTTAGATAATTGACAAGTTTTACATCGAAATACTTCACAAGTTGTGTTGCTGGAAAGAGAGTGGAGAATTTTTGTTTTTTTTACATGAAATTGGATGATCATGACAAAGCTGCCAGTGCCATAGCTTCATTGTCTTTTAATTAGAGAAAGATCATACAAGCATTTTTCTCTTAGCCTTTCATAAAATAGGTCGTGGAAACCGACATTTTTTTCCGTGTTGTCACTTTTCATTCTCGAATCCCTTTCTTGTAATTCTTAGTGTTCGAAGAAAATTAATTTTATAGTTCATATCCTAAATGATATTGCTAATCATAATAAATTGTAGGGATGCTTTGGAATCAGGAGGCAGAAGAACTGAGTTAAGAACTTTAGAGTTAAAAGTCATTGCTAGTTTTAATGTCAGTTATTAAGGTTGTTGAAGCATCAACTGTTATAGTTGTATAGTCGTTTAAACGCGGTTGAAGGATCTGAAGTAATG